AAACAGTCAGCCATGATTAATAAAGTTAGATTAATAAATCTGTAATCAAGTAAAAGTGAACCACAATATGTCTTTATAGGGCAACCTGCTCCATAAAGAATACAACTGCTTTTATTAGGCAGCTTATATTATTTGACTATTATTTTTGACTATATGTCTTTATCTCATGTAAGCGAAAAGATGACTCCACTATGGAAGCTTGTTTCCACCACAGAATAAATTTTTTTTAAAGATAATAGCGACTTTTGATCTCACAATTCTATTTTTTTCTCTCACAATTGCGAGGTTATATCGCAATTCTGATTTTTTCCCCCAGAATTTCGAGATATAAACTTGTAATTGTGAGTTAGAAAGTTAGAACTGCATGATATAAACTCACAATTGCGAGTTAGAAAGTCTGAGCTGTAAGATATAAACTCATAAATTCTGACTTCTTTTCTCAGAATTGCCAGTATATTACAATTCTATAACATGCAATTGCGAATTTTAAGATATAAATTCACAGATCTCTTTTTCATTAGAATTGGAATTTAGTTTATCAAAAGTACCATTTGTTCCCCATGAGGAAAAAATCTTATAAATCATATAAAATTATGTTTTTTGAAAATGAAAATGAAAATAAAAATAAAGTTTTCTGTGATGGGTAGGTTTAGGGGAAGAGTTAGGGTTAGGGGATAGAATATACAGTTTGTACAATATAAAAATCATTATGTCTATGGAAAGTCACCATAAAACAACGTGTGTGTGTGTGTGTGTGTGTGTGTGTGTTTACTTCATTGAATTGATGTTCCACACAAGGTGAACTGTTGAGCATGTTGGGATGGGGTCCACAGCAGTGCTTTATTTCCTTGTTTACTTTACACCAGTCATCTGTGTTTTTCTATCTCACATTAGGGGGTTACTCATAAAAAAATTATAGCATCTTAAATTAACCATCTGCTGTTCCTTTTCCCTTTATCATATTTGATCATGCCAGGAAGTTTAAGCTTCTTAGAAAACACAACTGATTGAATCTTTTAATGGATTGAAGCCATGGTGTGCAGTTAGTAAATTAGTTTAACTGTGTAATTATATCAGAAATATTGCACTCGCCTTCCACTATAAAAAGCCTAATGAGGCATCAAGAGAAAATATTGCTGAGTAACAAGATACTCTGTGTTTTGTACCACCAACCACCGAGCATTGCTATTGTGCCCTTGAGCACTGCACTTAACACATAACTCCTCGTTGCTGTTACATGACACCCCTGTTTCCCCAACCTCACTTCCCCCAAGGCACGATGGAGTAGAAAAATCAGCTCTCATTGTTTTACTGGTCCATGTTTTATCAGCATGGACCTCCATGACTGGCTTGTTACCTCAAATGATGCTGACCTTACATAGGTTACAATGGCCTGAGGCATGGCCCCACTGTAATGCTGACGTTCATTAGACTGACTGTCAGTTTGTTTTCAGATTACTGTCATGAAAATAAAAACATATTTTAATAACAAGCTATAACTGGTTGTAATTTGCCTATAATGTGAACATGCAAAAGGTGGGCAGATATATTAGATGAACAGAAATTGGTATGTGATTGGGTATAAATCCTGAGAAAAATGACAGACATATTTTTCACCATAACAACGTAGTAGAGGAAACATGTTGTCTAGTAATGTGACAACTAGTCTATTTTAATCCGGTGAATATTTCTCAGGGTTGGTTTATTTTTGAAAGAAAGTTGCTGTAAGGTAGGGTTGATGTGGAATGGGGGAGGGGTATTGCTACACTATATGGGGTGAGATATCACAATGAGAACCTGCCTGTTAATTGCTTTACCATTTAAATTCTGCCAAAAAAGCGTATATGGAAAGCCTTTTTCCGCCGCGGAATAATTTTGCAATTGCGAGAAAAAAATCTGAATGGTGACATAAAAAAATCGCTATTACCTTTTTGTGTGTGTGTGTGTGTTTTATTCTGTGGTAGAAACAAGCTTCCATAATTATGAAACACAAAACAAAACAAATAATTGTTTTGGCCAACATGTGATTTTATTACATTTATAAATAATATATAATTTATAATTCATTAAATTACATTAAATTACTCGCCCGACCTGAAATTTATGAAAAATATCCTTGTTGTAAAATTATACCTTTGTTTATGGTCACTATTAAAAATATAACGTTGGATTTCACAAAAATATTCTAAATTACAATGTGCTTTAAACTAACATGCAATATACCTGCTGAACACACATTTTTGTGTAATTTTAGTTTTAACTCAAATCCCTATGGTTCAGCCCATGTAACAACTAGCCCCTGTTTCTCCAGTACACAGCTACCAAAGGTCCATTTACTGCATTCCTCTTTCTGACAGTTTATCACTGCTTGACACTATTTCTTGGATGCACTTCTGTATAAAGCCCCTCATGAATAAAATACATTACCTTCAAACATGTTAAATAATTGAGATTTCACTTATATCAGGTGATCTGTCACTCTACATGCCAAGAGTTTCTCGCACTTTCTCTGGGTTGATTTGCTGATCCATAGTTTGTTGTAAATGTCATTGAAAGGTGTCTCAACGAAAAAGATATAATGGATTATAATGGAATGGAAAACATTTTATAACTGTACTCATCATGCAAGCATATGAGCATTTTGCTGCAGTTCTGTTGACCATCTGTGAGATTTTCACAGAATATGTTGTGAATTCATGAAATAAATTAATATTTAAAGAACATATTATGACCTTGCCTTCTTTCAGTGTACACCAAACATGGATGAAAGTTAATATGTATTTTTATATGTATATGTATAATTTAATTTAATTTGCTGCTAAAATTTTGAATTATTATTACAAAAAATAACTGTTTTACATTTTAATATTTTAATATATTTTAAAATGTTTTTGTTTAATATATTTAAAAATATTAAAATGTATTCCTGTGATGGCAAAGCTGAATTTTCAGCATCATTACTACAGTCTTCAGTGTCACATGATCCTTCAGAAATCATTCTGAAATGCTGATCTGCTGCTCAAGAAACATTTCTCATTATTATCACAGTTGAAAACAGTTGTGCTGCTTAATATTTTTGTGGAAACAAACAGTAATACTTTTTTCAGGACTCTATGGTGAATAGAAAGTTTAAAAAACAGCATTTAAAAATCTGTTTTTAAACATGATATATTTCTTTACTGTCACTTTGTGAAGTGAGTTCTTAAAAAACAAACAAACAAAAAAAATCCTGACCCCACACTTTCAAGACGTATGTACATTATATTGCTTATTATGTGGCTACATATCAAATAAATAAAGGGGCATGAAATTGAAATTGAGTAGAAATTGACTGTGGATTTATACGACAGGAAACTAGAGAGCTATGTAGGAAATTGATTGCCTGTGTGACAATGTTTAAAGTGTAAATTGCAGGTAAAATTTTTCACGAAGATAATGCAATGTGCTTACTAAACATAAAGATAAGAACCGCCCACCATTGTTTTTTTTATGTTTTTTATACCAAAATGCTGCATATAATATGAAAAGTTGGTACGTTTTACAGTGGTTTTAAGCACGCCCCCTCCCTTCCACTAGGCTGGGCGTGACGTCATAAAAGGTACTCCAGCTTTTACTGTCTAAGCTCCAGGGCTGGAGTTACGTTATATTGGAGACCTAGCTAGCAAAAATGATTAACTATTGTGTTTGTGCGGGATGTACGAATACATCAAAAACGGGGGAGAGGCTCCACAAGTTCCCCAAGGACAAACGGCTGATTCGTGCCTGTAAGTGTTAGCATAACTTACCCGAGGTATAGATCGGGCACAAAAAAATCAAGCAAGACCCTACCCGAGCCCGCTGTGTCCGAGCCCGGTCCGGCCCTGCCCGACACATTAACTGCTGTAATTATGAGCCCGGTTTAAACCCGACTATTTTTTAATACGTGGGTCGTTATAACTGACGTTCTCAACTACTTTCTATATTACTTTCTCCCGCCCGCAACATTTATGTTTTGTCCCGCTCCCACCCGCAAAAATACTTTTTTTCTGTACCTCCAAATACTTTCAAGTTAGCCTATGTGTCGCCACCATATACACATCAGCATACATGCTCCTGATCACTGTATAACATAAAAGCAAGTGGGCTACTGCGTGCATGGTCTGGCATGACTGCGTGCAAAGTGCGCTCCCATAATAATTCCTAAAAAGCTGACATCAGTTCATCGCGATCTCACACATCTCTGTTATTATCAATGAATCTTTCATAATATATACATGTTTGTTATAATTAGAGGATTTGCCAGCATACAGAATTCAGCACTGAACAAAAAGTCAGTTTTGAGCGGTGAGGGGAGTCCATCGTAAATGCTTCTGATTGGTCATTATTGCGTTTAAGAAATCAACACATATGTCTGTGATTGGCTACATCGCTCAACGCTGCAGACATGTTAGAAATAGAAACTCTGCCTGTAAACCGTTTCTATTTTGTTTTAGTTGTTCTTGTTGCTTTTCTGCAACAGAAGAATAAAAATGTATTCGTTTTTATGTTTTATTCAGATATTTCTAGTTTGCGGGAGTCCCGCGAATCGTTTTATTCTCCCTCAACCGGCACACACAGAGTGAGTGCATTACCGCCCGCGCTCCCTCTTATGACGTCATCACCCAGTTACGGTAAAAAACATGCTACCTTTGAAGAAACCCCAATAAATGTTATTTTAACGCATTTTAAGACAGAAATTTTTACATATATACACATTGAGCACTTTAATTTACACATTAATTAGTTGTGGTGGTTAACCTGCAATTTACACTTTAAATATATAGTTTTAGCACTGTTCACTATACAAAAACTTTGACTGCTGAATTGATCAATAATTGATCACAATTGGTCAATAAGAATCAAGTATTCAGCCATGTAATAATATAGGCAATGAAGTGTGTTTTGCCTAAAGTTATTGTAAACCAGTGAAATGGTTCTCTTTGACATCCATCAAGAAGTTCATAAAACTGTTTCAAACTCACCAGGGCACAGTACATCTCAGGTGGGTCTCCACAGGTAATGTTGGGTGGGTCCAGAGACACTCTCAGGTATTTGGTCATATCAGTGGCTTCAGGCTGGCAGGCCATGTAATGCCAGGCCAGGCGGTCCTCCGCGTATACCTGGGACTTGCAAACATCATAGTGCCCCCATGAGGCCGGGTAATGCTGCGTGGCATGACACCAACTCACCCACAGGGCCTGTAGTACAAACACTAGCAGCAAGTACATGGTTGCGCCTTTCTTCTGATGCCTCATTAAATGGAGTCTGATAAATTATAAGCAGGCAGAGGGTGACGAGGCAGACTGCCTCTGTGGTAACACTGAACTTTAATGGGGAGAAGAGGCCGGCATCCGTACCAGCTTTGACTCTGCTTCCTTAGGCTGCTCTAATTTCATTTATTTGTTTCTTTTTGTCTGATTGTGTTACAGGGGCTCTTGAATGTGTTTTGACAAAGTTGCGGTAAGTGCAGGTCACCGGTGTGAAAGAATGATATTAATTCCTTCTTGAAGCCATTAGTGGAGGCCATTTCAGATCATCTGCCTGTCAATCGCCATATCCAGTGTGCTCTCCACAGTCTGTGGGGGATAAGAACAAAGAAGAGAAAAACAAGAGTGTATCAGTGGAGGAGCTGTCAGGATTGGTGTTGTGCAAATAACGAGGAGCCCAGTGGAAAAGGTGAGGAGGTGCAGGTCAAGTGCTTTCTATTGCTGAGACGGACTTCACATAGAAATATCCTAAAAATACCTGCTTATTACGGAAGACAAATAGCCAAACATCCCTGCAGGCACAAATAGACCGTCTAAGTCTGCACATCTCTCCAACGTGCAACTCTCAATAGTCTCTAAGCAATTTGAGATTTCAAAAATTCTGTTCTAGTGTGAGGCAAGCAGTGGGGGAATGAGGTCATTATTTTTTTCTAGATATAGAAATTGTATGCATACTTCATATTTTATAGACCTTAATGCATTTCATAGGCCTTTAAATGTCAGGGACAGAGGCCCTTGTTACTAGTGCTACACTGCAAAAAATATTTTGTCAAGTGGCCTAAAATGTGCTTCATGTGATAACATAAAAGTAACTGGTTTTATATACAGTAAGTAAGGAATCTTTAATTGGATTTATTTGATATGATTGAATCAACTAGGCCACAGTAGGTTACAGCAAATGAAAGCCATTTTTAAGAGTCAAGTCAGGTTGGAATAGCTGTCGGCCTAGTTCACCCAAAAATGAAATTTCTGTCATCATTTACTCACCCTCATGACCAGGGGCTGTCAAGCTCAAAATATGGCAAAATAATATCATAAAAGTTTCATCAAAGTTGTCTGTATGATTCAAGCTCTGCATTTAAGTCTTCTAAAGTAATTTGATTACTTTGTGTGATGAACAGACGGATTTAAGTTGGTGTTCATAAAATCTCCCATCTGTCATAGCTCTTAATTTTCATTGGTGTGATATTTGTTTTAAAAATTAAAATTTGGTACATTGGGATCAGATACAAGACATAATAAACAATGACCTTTGGCATCACTGACGTCAAACCTGGTGTGACACATTTTAACGCAACATACTTGAATATACATGAACATTAATGAGATTTTAAAGGTGCTCTAGAGGAACAGGAATAGATTATCAATTAATAATGGCTTTTAATAAATGTCTGCCTTTTCCTCATGAAAAGCTATCATATGGTTTTAGAAGACTTGAGATATAGCATGTAAGTAAAGGCACGTTCACACGAAGGACGATGACTATAACTATAACGTTGTTATAATTGTCCTAATTCTATGGGAGTAGCAAAGTCCACACCACAACTATGACGATAAGATCCCTATCTGTCAGTCACTTCAACTTGGAAACTAGGGGTTGGACTTGGGAGCCCCAAACTGCTCTGAAACTTAGAGAGAAAAGGTCAATGAGAATTGGTGAGTGGAATTTGCTTGGCACTCCCACTGAACATAAGGTTATAAAAGGGAGACGATGTGCATCACTCATCCAGATTTGTTCTTTGGAGCCGAGTGAGTGTCACCTATACCCGAGCTCAATCTATTCATCCTCTGGAAAGAAAGTGAATTGCTGGTGTGACAGCGCATTGTAGCGGTCTTTCTCGTGGAGAGGGCACGGAAAAGTGCAGAGAAAGTTCACCTGGGTTCTTCAGCAAGCATGAAAGAGCAGTTTCCTATAAAATAGCTTTATCCTATAAAAGAGCAAGCAAAGACAGAGAGCTTCTTTTTAAAGATGCTTATCCACCAGTCTGTTTCTGGGTGCGGTTGATATCTCTCATCCTTGGATGGCCACAATCTTTGTCGTGCGTGTCTGCATCGAAAACACGCTGAGACAGCTTTCGTGGATGGCTCATGTCCATATTAGCAAGAACATGACCGTGGCAACACTGAAATCGCGACTCTCTTTTCTGGTAAGAGAGAGAGTCACCTCACCTCAGAGAGTCACTTCACAAGGCCGAGGCGGCTAGAGCTGAGGGCGATGCGAGGGCAACGGGAGCGTTTCTGCTGGGTCAATCCCCAGGGGCCTCCTGTTCTTCGTCTTGCATGTTGCGAGCTCCCAGATGACTTTGACAATTTTTAATCCAAGGCTAAACTTTTGACACTGAGGGCTTGGTGGACTTCCACCCTCGGGTGCGGTCGCTCTTACTGAGTCTGGTGCAGAGTTGGCAGACATGCTTGTCCTGAGCACTTGCGGTTGTTTGATTGGTTTCTGGGTTCTGAGAGTGACCTACAGCCATGCCACACCCCGCCCCGCCCCGCCCCAGTGCCTTTCTTCCCAAAAGTGCATGAAGAGCTGACAAAGTAATGGAGGGCACCTTTCACTGCCTGGTCCCAATTTACAAGCTCTTCCACCCTCACCACCCTCGACAGTGGGATGGCCAGGGGGTATATGGACGTTCCACAAGTGGATCATGCAGTTGCTGTGCATTTATGCCTGCAAAATACTGCCACTTGGCGGAATCCTCCCAGACTCCCATCCAGAGCCTGTAAGTTCACTTCATCTCTAACGGCGAAGGCTTACAGAGCTGCTGGACTAGCTGCCTCCGGCCTGCATGCCATAGCCATCCTGCAGATCCATCAGGCAGAAGCTCTAAAAGAGCTGCTCAAGGATATTTCTAAGCTGGGATTGATGCAAGAACTGCGCTCGGCGACCAACTTTGCTCTCCGAGTGATGATGGTCATCGTCTGCTTGTTGCCTAAGGCTGCCACATAGGCTCCACTGCAGCCCGAGCCAACAGCCCGCTTGTTAGGCGAGCACTAAGAACCAGTGGAGGGCAAGGTGGAGAATATTTGATTTCATTTCTTTTTTTGTTCCGCCAAGTATCAGCAGTACCCAAATTTTCAAAGAAACAGCACCATCATGTTCGGTATCCTCATGTTCAGACACTAAGGGAAGTTGGCATTCGCATTTTCAACTGTCTCGAAGACTGGCTGATCCTAGCTCACTCTCAAGATTTGTTGTGCGCACACAGGGACCTGATGCTGAGACACCTCAGCCGCTTTGAGCTTCAGGTCAACTGGGAAAAGAGTTCTCCCCAGTAAAGAGCATCTCTTTTCTCAGGATGGAGTTGGACTCGGTCAACATGACAGCATGTCTCACGAGCAAGCGTGCTCAGTCGATGCTGAACTCCCTGAAAACATTCAGGGGAAAAAAACAGCGGTTCCACGGAAACTATTTCAGAGGCACCTGGGACATATGGCATCCTTGGTGGTGGTTACGCCGCGTTTAGGGTGATGCATATGAGACTGCTTCAGCATTGACTACGGTCTCGAGTCCTGAGATGGGCACAAGCCCTGAAAAGTGAAGCCAAAACGTCTCGATCGCCCCCCGGTGGCTGGTCCTAGTATAGGTCATAAACCCCGCCTCCCCATGTTATTCAACATGTGAGACCAACTAAACAATTAAATTACACTTCAAATCTCGTTTTTCCAAAGATGGTTTCTGTCATTTACTGTAGTTTTTATCACGCTGATGTAATTTCAAGTGTTTGTTTTTAAAATAAGTTTGTTTTTAGTTAGTTATTTGATGCGGTGGTGTGACGTCATGATTGACAGCTGTGATTGACAGGTTCTCTGAGCGAAACAGTCACTAAAGCACCAACAGACTTTTTTTTCGGGATCTTCGGAGGACTGAGGAGATCGGAGCTTTAAATTTAATATCTAAATTTCTATAATTAATTTTAAAAAAATGTGCAGGAGCGTGTGTTTGCGATTGATTCTGCGAGAGTGAGGGCGGGGCCTTGATTTCGCGGATTTACTTCCTGTTCCCTATTGCGCATGTCTGGTCCCGAAATCGCAACTGCGCAGACTCAAGTTCCAAGATGTCAGCGGCATATCGGGATACTGCGGCATCAGTTCTGACCAATGGAAGAGAGCGAAGGGGCATCGTCCATCTTTTTTTACAGTCTATGGATGGGTATGGCGCAGGGGCACACATCGCGTGGCCATCACAGCCATGGCTTATTCAGCCCTTGGACAGACCTTGCATTTCTAGAGGCAGGGGTTCCCCAAGAACAAGTTTCCTGGCGTGTTGTGGTCACAACAGACGTGTTGGACTGCCATGTGCAACAGACAGAAGTCTTTAGAAAAGCACGACCTGATAATTAGGTTCCTCAGAGGCGCCAAGGGGTTAAATCCTCCACGCCTTATTCCCTCATGGGATCTCTCCGTTGTCTTGCTGACCTACAGGGAGCTCCTTTTGAGTCAGTAGAGCTATGTGCCCTCTCTTTGAGGATGGCACTCCTGACCGTGCTCAATTCCATCAATATGGTTGAGGACCTGCAGGCAGTATCTGTCATCGAAACGTCCCATGAGTTCGGTCTGGAATTATCTTAGGTGATCCTGAGACCCCGGCCAGGCTAGGTGCCCAAAGTTCCCACTACCCCTTTTAGGGACCAAATGGTGAGCTTGCAAGCGCTGCCTCGGGATCCAGTACGCGTCCTGCGTGTGTACCTGGACTGCATGCAGAGCCTCAGAAGCTTTGAGCAGCTCTTTGTCTGTTTTGGTGGACAGTAGAAGGGAAAGGCTGTCTCCAAACAGAGGATGGCCCATTGTATTGTGGATACCGTTGCCTTGGCATACCAGGAGAATACCCTTACCATACCCTTAGGAGTCCGTGCCCACTCCACGAGAAGTGTTGCATCTTCTGGGGTCCTACCAAATGGCACCTCTCCAACAGGCATCTGTAAAGCAGCAGGCTGGGCAACACCCAATACTTTCACAAGATTTTATAATCCCCAGGTTGAGCCAGTTGTTCCCTGTGTGCTAATTGGTACGAACAGGTAAGTTACGGAGAACGGGCCAGGTGTATCACTTGGACACAGCACCTTTCCCCTCCCTGAGATGACAACTTGTGCTTTTTTGTCCACGTTCCTGTTCCCTGGACTGAGAAACCCTAAATTAATTTTCCCTCAGCACACTGCAGCAGTCGAATTCGGTGGAGAAAATATGACGTCAGGCCCAGTACTCGTGATGCATGCCCTTTCAGGTCAGCCCGTATATTTGGGCTGGGTTCTCCATAATTATTCCATGATGGTAATCCCCTAGGATGTATTGTCCATGATATGGTTTCT